GCCCGGAGCAGGGCGCTGCGCGGGGCTGCGCGGGGCCGCGCGGGCGGCAGGCTCCGGGGGCAGCGCGGGGCTGCGCGGGGGCGACAGCAGGTGCTCCCGGCTCTGGCGCAGGGCCTCGGGCGACGACAGGAGCAGGTGCTCTTGCGACACAAGGCGCGCGCGCGGCAGGGTGAATTCGTAGCGCGACCGGCCTCCGTCGCCCAGCAGGTGCTCCTGGGACATGACCCGCCGCGGGTTGGGCGCGGGCGCCAGGCCCAGCTCCTCCGGGCCGCCCCAGGCATCCATGCGGTAGCCGCCCCCCGTGCCGGGTCGCCGAAGGGTATGCAGGGGCAGCGTCCCGCGGGGCATCTCCGCCAGGTGCCTGCGCTTCAGGTAGGCCTCGTCCAGATCCTTCTCAGCTGGGGGAAGGGGGGAAAAGCCATAGAGGTAAGTCCTCAGCCAGCCCACAACCTCCCCCATCCCCTGGCTTCGGTACATCCCACCCCCACAAGGACCCCAGACATCACCAGAATGCCCTGGTCATTAGCCTGGGAACAGGTGGCTGAGTCTCACATTGCAACCAGTCGAAACAATCAGGCTAGCTATGTGACCAAAATGCAGATTCCTAGGCCCCACACACGATGGTGAGCCGGTAGATGTGGGGCGACTTCCTTTTTTTTTTTTTTTTCTTCCAAACTTGGAAATGTGACCTATTCATGGGTTATGAAGTCAGTTTTGTGGATGGTGACTGGCATTTTGAAAATGAAATAGAATAAAAAATTATCAGAAAGCATCCACACAGGAGCTCCTGGCTGGCTCAGTCGGTAAAGCATCCCCATCTTCATCTCCGGGTCCTGAGTTGAGCCCCATATTGGGTGCAGATATTACTTAAAAAATCAATAATAAAAAAAAAAGATTAAGGAGGTTGGTGGGGAAAAAGATTTTTAAAAGTTACATAAAAAAGAAAGTATCTAAGGGTCCCTGGGTGGCTCAGTCAGTTAAGCCTCTGCCTTCAGTTCAGGTCATGATCCTGAGGTCCTGGGATTGAGTCCCACATCGGGCTCCTTGCTCAGTAGTGAGCCTGTTTCTCCCTCTCCCTCTGCTGCTCCCTCTGCTTGTGCTCTCTCTCTGTCAAATAAATAAAATCTTAAAAAAAAAAAAAGAAAGAAAGCATACACATAATAGGGGAATAAGGGTGTACCAGTTCATAAAGTTTTTATTTCAGTTAATTTGTGTTGCGGAAATATTAATGGATGCAGTGACAATACCTAGGGTTTGTTTTAAAATAATCCAGCAAAGAGGTGCCTCAGTGGCACAGTGGGTTGAGTGTCTGGCTCTTGGTTTCCACTCAGATCCTGATCTCAGGGTTGTGGGATTGAGCGCCGCCCATGTCGGCTCCGCACTGAGCTTGGAGTTGGCCTGAGATTCTCTCTCCCTCTACTCCTCCCCACTCTCCCTCTCTGTCTCAAAATAAATCTTAAAAAAAAAGTAAAAAAGGGTGGGGGGATGGGTTAGCCTGGTGATGGGTACTAAAGAGGGCACATATTGAGTGGAGCACTGGGTGTTATATGCAAACAATGAATCATGGATCACTACATCAAAAACTAATGATGTAGGGTGCCTGGGTGGCTCAGTCGTTTAGCGTCTGCCTTCGGCTCAGGTCATGGTCCCAGGGTCCTGGGATCGAGCCCCGCATCGGGCTCCTTGCTCAGCGGGGAAGCCTGCTTCTCCCTTTCCCACTCCCCCTGCTTGTGTTCCCTCTCTTGCTGTCTCTCTCTCTGTCAAAAAATGAATAAAAATCTTAAAAAAACCAAAACTAATGATGTAATGTATGGTGATTAACATAACATAAAATAAAATTTTAAAAAAAGTAAAAAATGAAACAATCCACCAAAAACTGGGGCAAAGGGAGTATAGATTAACAAAATGTTGCTCATTTTAAGTTGAGTGATGGGAACATGAGGATTCATTTTACAATTTCCTCTAATGCTGGGTATGTTTGAAAAAGTTCATAATAACAAGTTTCAAATTTTTTCCCGTAATTAAAAAATATGCATATATACATGTGTCTCATGGGTGATAATATAAAAAGCATTTCTTTTTCTTTTTTAAAGGGTTATCTTTTTTTTTTTTTTAAAGATTTTTTATTTATTTGACAGAGAGAGACACAGCGAGAGAGGGGAACACAAGCAGGGGGAGTGGGAGAGGGAGAAGCAGGCTCCCGGCCGAGCAGGGAGCCCGATGCGGGGCTCAATCCCAGGACCCTGGAATCATGACCTGAGCCGAAGGCAGACGCTTAACGACTGAGCCACCCAGGCGCCCCTAAAAAGCATTTCTTAATGTGGCTCTCAATTTAAAAATGTCTGAAGGCTACTGCCACTGACCCAGAAATGTCCGGAGTCACAGTGATTGGTTCAGGGACAAGCATGTGACCCAGTTTGGGCCAGTAGGCTCCAGACCTGGGATTTTTGCTGGAATCATTGGGAAAGATGCTTTCCTGCTGGTAGAATGGCACCCTGAAATTCCTCAGGTCACTCTTTGCCACCACTAAGGAAGGATCTGTCTGAAAATGAAGCCAGCCCACCATTTAGCAGAGCTGAGACATATCAAATCCTGGAGACAGCTTTTGAGCTCCTGGATCCAGCCATACCTGAAGCTCATGATTCAGAGACTTTCCATTATCCAGCTAATGTAGTTGCCTTTAAAAAAATTTTTTGTTTGCTTAAGTTCTGTTAATTGTAAATACAGATCCTGATGAATACAATAGATCTTAGGAGAGCATGAATCTGCATTTTTAAAAAGCACCTTCAGTGTCACATTAGGAGAAGGAAGGGAAAATGAAGGGGGGGAAATCGGACGGAGAGATGAACCATGAGAGACTATGGACTCTGAGAAACAAACTGAGGGTTTTAGAGGGGAGGGGGGGATTGGTTAGCCTGGTGATGGTCATTGAGGGCAAGTACTGCATGGAGCACTGGGTGTTTTATGAAAACAATGAATCATGGATCACCACATCAAAAACTAATGATGTGGGTGCCTGGGTGGCTCAGTTGGTTAAGCGACTGCCTTCAGCTCAGGTCATGATCCCAGGGTCCTGGAATCGAGCCCCGCATCGGGCTCCCTGCTCAGCCGGAAGCCTGCTTCTCCCTCTCCCTCTCCCACTCCCCCTGCTTGTGTTCCCTCTCTTGCTGTCTCTCTCTCTGTCAATTAAATAAATAAATAAAATCTTTAAAAAACAAACAAAAAAAAAACTAATGATGTATGGTGACTAACATAACATTAAAAAAAAAAAAAAGCACCTTCAGTGTCAATTGGGCCACTCTCCACCATTCTGAACCCAGGCCCTGGCTCTTCACCCCACCCCATTGCCTGTGCCCCTCCCCTTCCTGGGACTCACCCAGTCTCTTGAGGGAGGAGTAGCGGTTGAGTTCAGATTTTACAGCAGCCTCGTAAGACGGGGGCAGATGCGAGAGGTTGTGGAAGGACCGTGAGCAGGAGAGCGTGGAGTAGTGCAAGGAGGGGCTGGGTGGTGGAATGGCGCGCCAATCTGGGGCAGAGGGGCATGGCAGGGGTCAGCCCAGCCCCTCTCCCTCAGACCCAGCAGTTCCAGCCCCCAGCCCCTTAGGGAGTGGAAACCAGGGACTCCAGCCCCTCAGAGCACCAGCAGTCCAGGACCCCCGTATTCATCCCCCCCCCCTCAGGAGACAGGCTCATTGCTGGGGCAGCAGGTCATGTCACAGGAAGAGAGGCAGCTAGCTCTTGCTCGGCACCTGCCATGTGCCTGGCCCCAGGCTGGAGGGGCAGTCCACTCCATTCATCTTCCCACCAACCCAGGTGTGAGGGAGATGACCACTTCTGGTGTTCAAACTGGGCAGCCGAGGCTAGCTTGGTTACCTGGCTAGACTGGGGGGTCAGGGCTCACAGGGTCTCATGCCTGCTCTGTCCTGGGCCCCCAGCTCAGGCTCAGTACAAGGCAGGGAAGGAAAGGAGCCTTGTCCTCCCCACAGCCCAGCCCTAGTCCGTACCCATCGTGGTGGCATGATGCTTGGGGCTGTTGACGTTGAGGTGCAGGTAGTTGTGGTGCAGATTATCTGTGGGGACCAAGAAAGGAAGTGGCGTTACTGTCATCCCTCACTCCCAGCTGGTGCTGCTGTCCTGGTATTGCGGAAGGATTTCCACTCACGTCCACTTTGTCCCCAGCTCTGATCCCTGCTACCTCCTGAATCTCTGCTCTGACCTGCCTCTCCCTCCTGGACCATCAAATCAGCCTTCTGGCCATCTGGCCAGCCCCCTCTTCAAGATCAGCCCCCCAGGGTAGTATTCCTGACACCCACACTTGCCCCTGCCCTTGCCCCTCTGCTGTTGCAAACTCTTTCCATGTCTGGCTGTCACCCACAGGACAAAATCTAAGCCAGGAATTACTTGGCTTAGATTGGCTCCAGCTGATGCCTTGCCTGAAGGAGCCTAGTTCAGTCCTGCCACAGGGCTTTTGCACATGTTGTTATGCTATTCTCTCCGCCTGGAATTCCTTCCTTTCCTTCTTTGCCTGAAGAACTGCTACTTACCCCTCAAGATCCGCCTCAAATGTCTGCTCTTTATTACTACTATTCAAACCCACCTCTTCCCCTCCATTTCTGACCCCAGCCCAGGCCTTGTCCAGCGTGGAGTACCATCCACCCTCCCCCTGGGCCTTCTTCGTCTCATCCCTCCCCCTTCACACGGGTTCCAGAAAGATCATTCTTCCACTCACTTTTGACTTTGTTGCCCATCCCTGCTCTAAACTCTACCATGGCTTCCCACTGCCATCAGGACAAAGGCAGAGCTCCTCAGCCCAGCCTGGTGCTCAGGTCCTTCCCGAGGTGTCTGCACACCCTCTCCCTGGCCCGCAAACTCTGCTTCAGCCGTCCTGAGCTCCGTTGGCCCAAGTAACCCCCTCACCCTCCAGTCCATTGCTCAAATAGCATTGCCTGGGGGAAGCCTTCCTCCTCCTCTAACCCGTTCCAGCTCCCTGGGCTTCCCCACTGATGAACTCATCATAAAATAGAAGAACACTAATAACTGCTCCTATTTGTATGGCGCTTTTTCTGTGTGAGGCATTGCTCTAAGCCTTCGGTCATTGGTTCACTTGACCTTTACGATAACCCTGTGAGGTGAGTGCTGTTGTGCTCCTGGTTTCATGGGTGAGGACACTGAGGCCCAGACAGGTGAAACGGTTTGCCCCAGTCGGCGGTGGCAGAGCCAGGATTCAGACCCAGGCTGTCTGGTTCGGGACACGTTCCAATGCAGTTATTAGGTACTTTCTTGTGAGTTTCTTGTGAGCTGTTGGGAGCTCAGACACGGACTTTCTCAAGTGCAGGGGCTGAGAATGTATAAATTTAAATCACCCCGGCGTCCATGGCACCCACCCGTAATGGTTCAGAGATGGCAGAGGCCGGTGGATGGGACTAGGGGCAGGGCCTGGGCCTCGGGAGGTGGGGCTATCCGGGGAGGGCGGGGCTGGAGGACTGGGGGCGGGGCCTGGGCAGCGGGAGGTGGGGCTATCCGGGAGGGCGGGGTCTAGAGGACTGGGGGCAGGGCCTGGGCAACGGGGAGGCGGGGGTATCTGGGAGGGCGGGGCTACATGTATGGTGGGCGTGGCCAGAGGCCGCAGCTGCAGCCCCAACTCCCAGGTCCCACTCACCGAGATTGGAGGGCTTCACGGTGTTGTAGAGGTTCTTGGGCGTCCTCGGGGGAATGCTGTCGGGGCCCCCGACCCCCGGGGTCAAGGAGCTGCTTCGTGCCCGGTCCGGGCGGGTCCCAGGCCCCGCCTGATGCCTCAGAATGTCCACCAGAGCCCTAGAGGTGGCAGAGCGACGGTCAGCGGCCTGGGGACGTGGGTGGGGGCAGGGAGAGGGAGGGCTCAGGCTTCTTTTCCCTCCCTGTTCTCCCTCTGGGGGAGTCTTGTCAGTTCGCCCCGGGCTCCTCGCCTTTGGCCACGCCCATCGCTAATGTCAAGCTGAGCGCCGCCCACCCCAAGGTTCCTCCCACCGTATTTCTTGCTTGAAACAGCCCCTTCCTCAATTCATTTGGACCCAACCCCCCTGTGGTCCTTCCCACATCGTCCCCACTGGGCACCTGCCCCACCCTGAACTTGGGACCTCACTCCCGTTCCTTTTACAGCCGTCCCATGGTGATAAAGTGTGCCCCATTCGTCCGGCTATGCGACCGAAAACCTTAGAATCACCCCTGACTCCTGTTGTTCTTTCATGCTCCTCAGCAGTCCTGCAGATTCGACCTCCAAAATAAATCCCCAACGGGACACTTCTCACCACCAGTGCTGCTCCCGGTACCTGCTCTCACCTGGCTCATTGCTAGTGTCCTAACGGGTCTCCCGCTTCCTCCCCTGTCCCCTGCAGTCCGGCCGCACACACGCAGCCCAGGAACCTTGAAATTATCAGATGGCTTCGCGCCGGAGCTCAGGGCTCTCTAGAGGCTCCCCCATCACTCTCAGATTAAATCTGCTCCACGCCCAGTGCTTTGTAGCTTCATGGGCCCCTTCACTGTCCTGCAAGTACTCCCACCAGGGCCCTTGCACGCGCTGTTCCCTCTGCCTGGAATGCCCTTCCCACACATCCCTGCTTGGCTTGCTCCTTCCCCTCAGGTCTCCGCTCCAGGTCCCTTTCCTGACCACTTCGCATAAAGCAACACCCTCGGCCCCCACTCTCTACCTGTTACGCTGCTTTCTTTTCTTCACAGCGGTTATCAATACCTAAATTTATATTGCATATGTGGTTGCTTGCGTACTCTCTCCACCACTAACGTTTAATGATAATGGCAGCCAACATTTATTGAGGGCTCACCATGTGCCAAGACTCGACATGAATCAATTCAGTTAATCTTCGTTACAGTCTGAATGGATGGGGAACAGTTATTAGGCCCACTTTACAGGCAAGCAAATGGAGGGACAGGCCCAGGGTCACGCAGACCGCAGGCAGCAGACCTGGGGTTGGAAGTCGGGTTTACCCAGCAGGGCAGGGACCTTGTTTTTTCACTGCTGTATCCCCAGCTGCTGACCCACAGAAAGTGCTCAAAAAATAATTTGTTGGGCGAATGAAGGCCTGAGCCTCACCCGTCACTCCGCAGCCAGGCCCGTTCTGTCGCCTATCCCTAGGGCCCGCCCATATCCCTAGGCTTCCGCGCCCAGGCTCGCGGTGGAGGCCTCCCGCGTCTCTGAACCTGCACAGGCACCCCTGTAGCCACGCCCTCACCAGATGGCTCCACCTCTCACTGCCCAGGCCCCGCCCCCAGGCCCCACTCAGCTAGGGCCCCAGCGCTCACATACCTGGGCACGTTGATCTCCCGATGCGCCCTGGGCGCACGGGACGCCTTGCTGAAGGCCACTTTGGCGCCGACGCCCACCGCCAGGGCGAAGCTGATGACCCCGCACACCACGTAGGCCGTGC